CCCCCCCGCCTCCAAAGCGGTGACCCTTTCCTGCATACTCCAGAAAGGGGGCTGCAAGTCTGAACTTCAGATGGGTTCAGATCTGTCCAAGGCCAGCTGAGTGGAAGCGTCAGTTGCTGAAAAGCTGAAGGTGACCCCCTGGCCAAAAATGCCAGCATGGTGCATCCTTTTTTGGTTTTGACCTTTAAGGCCCTTAGCGGTCAGCGACCTACGTCTCTTCGGGACCGCCTCTCCCAGTACGCCCCCGGAAGGACATTGCACTCAGGAAATAAGAACGTGCTGGTAGTCCCTGGGCCGAGAGACTTTTTATCGTAAGCCACCCTGAGCCTGCCTTCGGCGGGGAGGGCGGGATAAAAATTGAATCGGACCATGGGGCCAACGAGGTCAGTGTTGTCCCAGTCCCTGCAGTTCTACACACAGGGGATAGGGAAAAAACCCCCCACCAAAAACTGTCATGAGAGGGAAGGGGTGAAGCCCCTCGCCCACCATCACCCCGATCCAAATTGGGCCCCATGCTCCTGCGAACTGAATTCTCAGCAAGGAAGTCACAACTGCATGTGGATTACAAAGACTCTGGGGGGGGGCTGAAAGTGTAGTTGTCAGGCAAGCGTTTTTGAGGAAAAACCGATCAAGCAGTTGTACATTCATAACTGAACCACCTCGAAGAATATCAGGGGTCGTTTCGTAGAAAAAGAGCTAGGGGAACTCATTAGCATAACTCATTAGCATATGCCACACCCCCTGACATCACCGGAAGTGTGTCATAAGGCCACACACCCCACCCCCAATGGTCCCGGCCGCCGCCACCGGCCTTGCAGCTCCATGAGGGGCCCGGCGGTGGACCTCCAAGGCCGGCGGGAGTGCTAGGAAGCCCCGCGAAGGCCCTCCCTGGCCCCAGGCAGGCAGGGGTGGGGAGAGGCAGGGAGGAAGCAACTTACCCTCCCTCTTCTCCTGCCTCCTCCTGGCTGAATGAGGGCTGGAAGCGGGGCGGCTGGAAGCAGGGGGCGGGGCTTCGTCATGTGCCCCCCCGTACCTCACCCGGGGGAACTGCGATCCCCCCCGAAATGACCTCTGCTTATGGTTATGTATTGAACTGTTTTAATGTACTTGGATGTGAATGTTTAATATTGGTGTAAGCCGCCCTGAGCCCTGCTTGCAGGGAAGGGCGGCCTATTAAATCCAATTTAATAAATAAGTAAATGTTTTGATACGGCCTGGGGTTGGCTGACCTAGTGACCCCTCCATTCCCCCAGCTTCAAGAGGAATGGATGGCTTAAGGCTGGCGTGGGCACCGACACCTTCAGGCAGAGAGAGCAAACTAGGACTCTGGAGACATGAGACACCCATCAAGCCAGAGAAGCCCTCTCTGTGTCTGGCCTTTGGCAATGTGGCACATACCAGCTGAAGTGGGTACCGTATTAGAGAGCAGTGCCCGTTGCCTCATGGGCCTGCACTAGCCTAGCAACCCCAAGCTGGGACCTGTGTATGTTTGGCGGGAGCAGAAGAAGAAGAGATTGGATGTATACCCCGCCCTTCACTACCCAAAGGAGTCTCAGAGCGGCTTACAAACTCCTTTCCCTCCCCCTCCCCACAACAGACACCCTGTGAGGTAGGTGGGGCTGAGAGAGCTCTGACAGAAACGGCTCTTTTTCAAGAACAGCTCTGACAGAACTATGGCTTGCCCAGGTTCATCCAGCAGCTGCAAGTGGAGGAATGGGGACTCAAACCCGGTTCTCCCAGATTAGAGGCCACACACTTAACGACTACACCAAACTTAGCTCACAGTCGGCTCGCCGTCTTCATTTTTAATTGTCCCTGCAGTGGTTGATGTCCTTTGGGCTCTTGGTGAAAATCCCAGGGATCCAGGGCCCTCTCTCATTCCATTGTTAGTTGTCCGCTATCGGTGATGGTGGCGGCCCCCAAAAGCCTGGTGGGCCCTGATCTCCTCCGTATTGAGTAACTAAACAGAGGAGGCAGATCGGGGGTCCCCGATGAGATAGATACCCGTGGGCACCACAGTGCCTGCCAACACCATCCCTAGCACCTGCCAAGTTTTTTAGGAAGTGGTGGGGGCATGTGTGGCTTTTGCCCAGTAAGGTTGCCAAGTCTCTTACCTTGGAAAGTGGGGGAGAGTCGGTCCCTTCCTGGGACATTCGTGTGCGCGCCGCGATGACGTCTCCTGGAAGTGACATTGTCTCACCGGGTGACGCTCTAGCAATCAGCCTGAAAACTCTATGATACCATAGAGTTTTCAGGCTAATTGCTAGAGTATTGCCCGGTGATGTGCCCGACGTGATGATGTCACTTCCGGGCGATGTCATCGCCCTGGGCACGTCGGGCTGATCTGGGCACTTTGGGGGTGGGAGTTCCCGCCCACCGGCTGGATCCGGACCGGCGGGTTGGGGGCCCTTTGGGCGGGAAAACCTCCCCCCCGCCCCGGGGATTTGGCAGCCCATTTGCCCAGCAAGGCTTCTGATAAGCTCTTAGCCTCCCCACCACCCCCATGACTTTCCAGCTAGATTAGCAAAAAACTCAGAATAAATTAGCTAAAAAAATTATACATGATGTTGCCCTGTACTGACTCAGAAGAAGAAGAAGAGATTGGATGTATACCCTGCCCTTCACTACCCAAAGGTGTCTCAGAGCGGCTTACAAAGTCCTTTCCCTTCCCATCCCCACA